TGAATTAAATTATACCTGCCCACATTATACAAACGTACAAAACACACAATAACTTTCTTTACAAGGCGGCTTTCACTACACACTAATACGACCCCTAAAACTTATGAGATAAAGTTCGATGAGATAGAGTCGATTTCAATATGGCTGGTGCGCATGATTTGAATGTCGAGCTGCGCACGCGCTTCCGTCCGCCCCGGGAAGTGAGCGCATTATGAAATGGAAACGGACCGAACCCGAATTAGGTGAATTAAGGTCTAAATAATGTTTTATAGCCAACTAAAAGCGTTTGGCCATCTGATGGTCATTCAACCCTGATTATACGGTCTATCCGAGTGTGAAACAAATACAAATGAATTACCTTCGTAGTAAACTGGTTATTGTGACATTGATACACTTTAGTTCTATTTGAATAAAAGTTCAATGATAATCTGCGTATCCACTGGTTGCATGAGATGCTGAGATTATCAACGAACACGGGAACATCTTTATAGCTTCTAATAGAGCTAACCACCTATTCTATTTGATAGACTGAAGCAGATTTCGGTGCAATTTGTTCTATTGTTATCGTAATCCTGACACGTTTAACATAGTTGACAGTTTTTTACAATTTCCACGACTGAAACCGTGTGTCGAACTAAGTCGCAATCATTTTCTATAGTTAGTCGGCACTTAGATTCTTTTACCGCAGAAAGTCATTTTCAGTAAGTAAGAACAGTTATTTTCACCCCTAAACCGCACTGTATAAGGCCAATGCCCCCATGGTGGTACTAGTACTTTCACTACATAGTTTTTCTGATAATCAAGTAAAAAACTATTTTACTGCCATTACCCCAATTACCTAGTATCTTCACTTTCACTAGATCAAATCAACGGACGAATTGTGGTGTTCGATATTTTAGTAGATATAAAAAAGTTTGAACTTGATCGTATTTTTTGATCGACTTCTAAATCGGGCTTGGAGTGAATCATCAGTAGCCTGTGATAGTCCGTTGGTAGTTAGTATTAAACCTTCTTTAAGAGGGTTTGGCATGATCTCCATGATCGGCAGTCTCGGTAGACGGGTTGGAAAACGCAGTTTATACGCTTAAGATTGGATTCTGCCAAATTGAGTCTGTTTCGACTCTTACCATGGAAAGAGTAAAGGTTGCCAGTTCGCAAAATAAAACTAAATGCGTAGTGACGTCAGTGTGTGTCACCCTACCTAATGATTCATAAGGTTTTTAGTGACTAATCGTATATAAAAACCTACTAATATATAAATTAATATATGTATATTAATAACTAACTGACCCGGCAAAATTAAGAACGCCCAAAATTTTTTTCTGATCCTATGAACCTTCTCTGGACTTCCAGGAACATTTCAAGACCAAAATTAGCCAAATCTGGTCAGCCGTTCTTGAGTTTTAGCGAGACTCACGAACAGAAATTCATTTTTATTTATATAGATAAGAGAGATATACAGGGTGACGTGTAACTTAACGTATTCCTCTCGGGAAGTGATAATATCTTAGAAACTAGCCACTTTCGGACTTCAGGGCTCATTTTGTAGGAAATTAGAGGTAGTTGTTGTATCTTCCGAGAGGAATACGGCGAGTTACAAGTCAACCTGTATATTAACTACAGCCAAGTGCCAGGTTACTAGATACTAAATAATACCGTAAAGTAAACAAATTATAATTCATCGTATTATTAAATAAGTGGCGTAGTGCAAAACGATAACAGTCATGCTACATTCATTTCGCTCCAGTTGTAATAATCGTAAAAGATTGACATAATAGTAACAAATGTAATACCTACCGATAATAATCATCGGTACTCAAACTGTTGAAAACCGAAAGAACTATTAGAAATAGTAAAAGCTTAGGTATATGACTTTGCTTAATGATTCAATTTTCCGTTCAAGTGATCGACAACTAAGAATATCCAGACACCATAGACAAACGGTGAAGGAAAACATCGTGAAGAAACCTGGACTTATTTCATTTCTAATAAGTTTGTAATCGCCAACCCGCATTCAGCAAGCGTATGGTGATTAATGCTCAAACCTTCTCCGTGTGAGAAGAGGCTTTGCTCAGCAGTGGGTATTTATAGGCTGTTGATGATTGATGATGATGATGATAGACAACTTAATTACCATCGTAAGCAAAAACTAACGATTCGTAAACCCTATCCTTGATTTACATGTAAAGCAACAGCTTATTTTATAGTTCTGTCTATTGATTGACAAAATGTATTTTTATGGGAAAAATATGATGAATTACCTATTATTTTATAAATGTATCATTAATCATATTATTACTAAGCATTGACGTCTGTACCAAATTAGCAATAGAGCCGCGATCACGAGTGTCACAATCACAATAGACTAAAAGAATTTGAATTTGACTATTCGTCCTACTTTTACAAGGTACTAAAACCTTTGAGGCTTGAGGTAACAAGAGTAATATCACAAATTACATAAAACACAGTCATAGTTAACCAAAGGTACGGTTAAAAAATGTATGTAAGCGTACAGCTCCCGAACTACTCGACCAAATTGGATGATTCTTATTTGTTGTATTCTTAATTGTTAGGGATGAGGTTTATATAAAAGAAAATATCGACTTATGGAACAAAGACGAAGCTGGAGCGACTCCCTCGATTACAATAAAAGTAGACTAAACTACATGATCCTCTGAGAATGATACCGTCATCAAGGTTAATTATTACTATTGCAAACCAAAAAGGAATATTACAATCCAATTATTTTTCAAGATGTTACTTAAAAGTCAGACGGTTAGAATTCAATGTCAGTTTAGCACGCTCAGAGCGATCTCATCGAGCAACGTGGTTACGTAGCAGCGAACAATGATTGCGAGATATTACGGTAGATACATAGTTCAAATAATTACATACTGTAATATTATTACATTCATTTTTGACAAGTCTACTATAGCAAGTTATATTTCACTGTTCCATAATGGTATAAGAGTTTTGTTGGAATGGATATGCCGCAGCCAACTAGATTAATTAGCCATTTAACTAATGACCGAATTTCTCATTCAAGACGCTCATTAAAGGGATAAGGAATTGTTATTAAAGCTGATTTGCTAGTAAAATGCTAGTAGTTTATTTGTATGTTTAAAAAACATTGCTCTACATTATTTTCGTTTACAAACCTACAAGTTCACAAACACATGACACCCAGGAACAGCAATCTGTGAATCACACAAAGAGTTGTTATGTGCGGGAATCGAACCCGCGACACCACGCCAGTTGCCAAACCACCACGCCAACCGTGCAGTCTGCAAGATTATTTTAGAGTAGCGACCTGCACAGAAACCGCATCAGAAATAAACAGCTACCAGAATTGTACTGCGATATTATTTATTAATCAGGCTAGATAGCTAATTTAATGGCTTATTAAGCTAGTTGGCTGTGTCAGATATACGTGTGAGTTTACAATTGATTCATTTTGATAACATATCATAACATCACGCTTTTTTCCCCGAAGGGATAGGCAGGGGTGCACATTATGCCATTGTACAATGTAACACCCACTTTTCACTATTTATGTTACGAGTCTCATGTAATAGGGGGTGAACCTATTGCCATATACCGGGCATAATTCCCTGAGATTTTTTTAAAAACCCAGTAATACTATGCCCGACCCGGGAATCGAACCCGAGACCCCTTGCCCGGCAGCCAACTTGCGACCAACATTTGGCCAACACGGCAGTCATTTTCATATTTGTTTGCAAAACAATTACTATACTTTTCCAGTGAGCTGCGACCACGCACGCTGCTCATGAGGAAGAACCCCTCTGTGGTTCGAAACTAGTAGAGCTTTTCTCTCAGTATATTTACGTGAGTAACCCGCAATTTTAGTTAATTTAGTACGTCTAACGACAGTTTTTATAAAAACTTTTACTATACTTTTCCAATTAAGCGTTTAATTAAGGAATTATAATTTAACTCTGACTTCATTTGCACTGAATTAAGTCATTGTTACCTGTACTGTTCTAATATATATAAGTACTAGCGGACACAACAGACGTTGTTCTGCATATCCACTTGAATGTACAAACAAAAAATCATTCAAATTAGTTCAACTGTTTAGGATAAATAACCTAAACATCGACTACAGCGCCATCTGCCGGGCTGATTTGTGAATATAAACCATTCCCAGATCCCCTTGAACACACAAAAAATTTCATTAAAATCGGTCCAGTCGTTTGAGAGAAGTTAAGTGACATACACACTCACAGAAGAATTATATATACACATATATATAAAGATAAGCAGTAACTATAATTATTAAAGTGAATATTTAATTTTATTGGTACTAACTTTTGACCAACAACAATGACTCATAACATTAACTATGTAGGTATGGGTTTTATTTTATAGGTAATGAGGTTTTAAATTAAAAGGTACCCATCTGGTGGTATATGCCTGTAAAACTAAACCAAGACTAGAATTTAATATAAAGAAATAATAATTATTAAATTTAGTAAATTTAATAATATTGCTTCTTTCCTCGTCACCCTACAGCTAACGTATGACTAAACACGGTTCGGTGCGCGGACGCATACGTTTTCTCTTTCACCCAATGTTCCCATGCTCCAGAACATTGACCTACCTTCCTACTTGGCCCTGTTATGATGACCTCAAAAGCCAAGAGATAAAGCAAGTGGTAAGTTCCTTACTAAATATTTTGTTTGTCTGTCTTCCGTATTTTTGTATGTTCCGTAAAGATACACCTGTTTACTGTAGGTACATTTCGTTCAGAATACAATGAATAGTACGCGATTGTTAAATAGATAGTGATGCGAAAGAAATACATTCGTTTCTGTGGAACAATAGATAATTTTACTAAGTGTTATTTTGGCTTAACAAAGTCATGGAAATCTTCAATGACTTCAAAAGTATAAAATCTAACAGGCACATGTACATGGTTCCCTCTTCTGGTGGCTCGCATGCTTTTGAAAGCAGTTATGTTAGCTGAGACTGGTACTTACCCAATAGTAGTCCTTAAAGACGGTGTTGTTAGAAGACCTCAGGTTGATCATGTCCTCGAGTGTATTCTGCCACCGGTCCATGCCGGCGGCGATCTTGTTCGAGACGTTCTCCCGGTTCATGTTACCCTCGGCTTCTTCGTTTTGAGGAGCAGCATCACTGCTACTCGCTGCTCTACTGCTGGAGCTTGACTCCCTACTCTCGCGGCCTATAGCACTGAACGTCCTGTAACAAACACAAGAACAATTATAGAAAAAGTCAACACCAAGATGGCGCACAAACATATGGTATCAAACACATAAAAATAGATTTTGTCAAAACTTGAGACACGATTTATCCGTACCATTAAAATGTAGAAGTCATTTATATCGATGTTGCAACGAAACTCGTTACCGATGGTCGTGTACCACATATCTTAATTACAACAAAATCTCAATTAATTACTCGTTTTAATTGAAACGAACATGAACGTTTGATTAAACTTTATATCGGAAATGACTTTTGAATTATTCGGTTACGTAATATCGATTGTAATAATTTTTGTTTACGATAAATGGAAGCAGTTAAGAAGTTTGTTAGAAACGCGTCCGCGGACAGTCGAAGAGTGGAGACATATGAATCATATTTCCTATTGTGGATGCGTAACTCATTTCTTACTCACCGTTTCCTATAATTATGAACATTTATTCGAACTATATTGAGAAATAAACGCTGGGGTTGGGTTTCACTGTTGTCTGTTGCCTGCATCCGTGCGCTCACATAACACTATGTAACTTTTTTCAGCAGATAATATTAGGTTACTGGTGTCGTGTTTAGGTCTAAGGTAATATTAATTTGGACAGATATAAATATTATTATGTACGTAGTAGCAGATAGTCTTGACTGTCTCAGGGACAATTCACATCTGCGTTGCTGATGTCATTGAGCAGAGAACGGTTATCAGCTGTTTGATCATACTATCTACAACTGCAACGGAAATAAAACAATCATTGTTTACCTATGATTGTCTAAAAGGCAATGTTTTTTATGTCATCACCCTCAATGTGACTAACGTACCAACATATATTGTTATTTTATTACTTAGGTACGAAGTACCGTCATGAGTGTGCTATAGAAGATAGATATGTATGTCTTAATGTCTTATAGATTTCAAATAATATGTTAATATAATGAAAAAATGCTGTAAATACAAGTTTTAATTGTATTTTGAAGACAAAAGACTGAGAGTCTCTATTTGGTTATTTCCAGTTTGCTTACATCTGCTGATGAAAGACCTGCCGTTGCTCCACATTGGATCTTTTAAACAATGTCTAATTATTAGGTTTCTTTTAATTTCATTGACACACATCTATTTTTTATATTTCGTGGACATTCTGTTAAATCGTACAGCTGTTAGCAGCTAAACTAATCATACATTGTGAAACAAATCTTTATGGTTTCGATTTAACATGCTGAATAATAATCAGTTCGACTCTAAGTAGTAGCAACTATTTCTTTTTTTATTATCAAATTCTGTCAGTTTGTTAGTTGTTACCTACTTCCTAAAGTGATAAACTTTATTTCATAAGGAGTTGCAATTGCAAAACATTTTTACGATGCTTAACTTCAGTTTGGAGAAAATGGAACGAAGATAAAATTAAGTGAAAAGTTCTGTATTATCGCGAACGAAACCACATGAAATTGTTAGTTGAGTAATAAAATACAAACATAAAGTGACGCAGCTGATGATTTCGTTTAACAATTTATGTGTTCTGCAGTAATTTTGTGCTGTTTTACGATCTTTGTTATGTTGACCATAATATATGTTTTACGATTTTGAACAAATTCACTTTGTAACTTCGTAAATATATGATTGTAAAGGAGTAATAATGAATTAATAATGACTTTATGCAACTTTTCATGCGTAATACTAATTATGGAATCTCATTTTTTATTGTTTCTCAATAATTTTACACACTTTCGCCTCAAAGATTACTTGGGAGGTACTAAATACCAATTATCCGCTTCGACTCATTCCAATACATGTGTTTATGCTAAAATAATTGCTAATTAATCATGCGTAAAGGTTAAATTTGTCTAAATGTCATCGGCGTAATAATAGCATTAGTCCCGAGTTTGCAGTCCGCGTGTGATCTTTCTTCTATAATTATTTAGTGTCATTATAATATTTGCTAATATTTAAGTAGAACGATTTATCATTCATGAACCAAAATATTCACTAATGATGAACATGTCTGAACTAATGAACGACTAGCTTTACAGAATGGTTCTCTATCAAATTATTCTATTAATTTATTTTCTGTAATAAATTACGTAAATGGTATTGATATTGTTGGCAAAATATTTCAATAGAATTAACAACTTGTCTAGCGGATATAAACGCAGTTACCGAAAACGACGTCTTAAACTCGATTAACTGAACTCATAATTGATAATAACATTTATCTTAGACTTAGTCTTTAATAGGATCTGTAGGACCAAAAAGGACCTATAGACCCTTAGTAATTACACTATTTAACTTATATCTAAGTGGACACTTGTAACATAAATAATAGTAAAATACCTAGAGAAGATAACTTAAGAACCGGGAAAGTTCGTTAAGAAACATTGGCTAACGTTTACAAAAATCTATTATCAGCAGCAAAAACAAACACGAAATGTGAGCAACACAAGCAAAAAGCCGTGTATAAATACCCGAATAAGGTAAAGCTAGTACGAAAAACTTGCAATCGTATTTACGCGAAATACTTGAATAACAGCCCTACGTAAGAAATACTAAACTAGTTTAGACATTTCGTAACGTAATCCGATAACCGACCTATTAATGTTACAGTATTAAGAGATGGGTCTGAAAGGTAGCATAAGGAACGTCTTTTAATCAGTGATGGGGAAGAACAAATATTCATATTCAGTGTAAAACCAGTTGCGTTTAGAGTCCCATAGGAATTGAAGTCGTCGTCATATACAGGACACAATTCCTAAAAAAATCAGTAATCATAATAATCCTCGATTACTATTTAATTATTATATTACACACGTCTATGTTTGACGAGGAACTCGCTTGTTTGCTAACCTGTTTTGTGTCGCGGAATACTGCTCATTAATATGAGCCTCTTCCATGGCTCGAAACTAGTCGACTTCCTCGTCAAATAGTTACGTGAATAAGCCGAAAACATAATAATTAATTTAGTATGTCTCATGATATTTATAATATAAACATTGTAAATATTACGTTGTGTTCAATTGAATTGAATCCAAGAAGCCATGCGTGGCAGTCGAACGTACTATGGTTGTGACTTGTGACTCCTCGAATGAGCCTGAGGTCTAACTAAAATAGCTCCATCACACTCTTCTATCAAACCACGAAGGTCAGATACCATTATCATAATTCATATAATCAAAGAGAACGCTTATTTTAATTATATAGCCTTAATTGAAGCCCAAGGCTAGAGTTATGAAGATATATTTAGTACAATATGTTGTATGGACGTGTAAGCGAAGGTATGGAACCTGTTAATCAATGAGTGCCTATTTCATAAAGGATCTTTCACACTATTGCTGACATTACTTTCAATTGACAAGAACCTATGAAGACTATTCTCAGTCCGAAATTTAATTGAAATCACGATCTTCAATAGATTATCCGACCAGGGTGAGAATGGTCTTAAAGACAAACGTATCAATAAGATTCAGATTACAGCTACTTAAGTGCTTAAACAACGGCATTATTTAAGTGCTTTTACTATGAACACTTTTAACAAGCCCGGAAATAAACGGTACACAGCTGTCTATAAGGACAATAGTAATAACAGTCATACATTAAAATTTCAATCATAGTTTTGCGAGCAAAAACTCATAGTGCAACAAAAACTAGTTGATATTGATTATACGCTTCAAATGTTTTTTTTAGATTGAAAATGAAAACAATACTGTTACGTCAATTCTATTTAGAGTTAAGTACGAAAGTAGCCCTGACCCTAATTGAAGCGAAACGCAAACAGATAGAAAAATGCAGCACGTACCTCCAACACTAAGAAACCAAACGTAGGGCTGGGAACGTCTCGATATCGATAATTCAAATACCTAACGATAGTTCTATGATGTGCGTTTTGATTTACGAACATAAATCAAAACTAAAAGTTACGCCACGATTCCACGAATGGATTTATGTCAGTGGTAATTAATGAATGTTTCTCTATATTATTTTACGGAACAGCAATCCTAGATGATCACCTAAATGTTGTTAAAGATTTTACTTGAGTTCAGTTGTCAATTTAGGTTATGATTTAACATCTAATATAAGGCTGAAGTCTGTTGAATGTTCTTAGTGATTAGGAAATAAGTAAGTATGGTTTGAGCAAAACTTATAATATTACTGGTTTTTGTAGCGCTCAGTTGATTAATTGTAACATTAGTCATCATTTTACACATACAAACGAGCCAGTACAGATTTATGTATATTATTTGTATCTAATGCTTTGCATTGATTTTACGATTTGCTAATCTCAGTAACAATAAACTATTTCTGTAAATAAATATTCAGCGTTTATAATGTCAACAAACAGAATATTTTAAAGATTGTAACATAAAACAAATTAAGAAAGAACTATAATACATTACATTGTACAAATCAATGCATTAATCGGCCACAATTCTTTCACGATACGATTACTTAAGCTGCTGCTATCATATCTAACAGAAAAAGGCGGTCAAAGCGCATCAAGTTAAACGTCGAACACTATTAAGAAATTATATTTACGATACGACTATCGATAGAATAGAACAGGTTACTCAATGGACCTCTGACATTTTTATCGATATCAAAAATATAATTATGTTTTAATTTCCGCCAACACTACTGTTAAATAATAATGTATTTAGTTTTTTAACGGACGGTGAAGCATTCCGGTGTGGAACAATGCAGGTTTAGTGTAAAATAGCCTTTCCACTGAATGAACACATTGTGCCCTAGCTTTTCATACGGAAATCATCATTATTCACTGAAGGTGATAGGTTAGGAAAATAGCTCATTTAGTCTAGGTGTCACTTAGTGTTTAATGTCGAACTACCTAGTTTTTTAAAGAGAGCAAAACGTTTACAAAACCTAATCGGTACCGATTCACTTTTTTATAGCAACCTCTCTGCTATAATTTGCACTCGTATAATTCAAACAAAACTGCTTTTTTCTTCCATACCAATTTGACATTAACATAATTATGTGTAAGTTTTTATTCATTTGACATTTAAATTAGCTGTGGCATCAAGTGTATCTGCCACGAGATGGTTATCACGTGATCTCAAACTGATATTAGTCTCGAGACTTTTTAGATGGTAACTACTTCTATAATGATTGAGTGCACTTGTACTTAGAAGAGTCAGAGAAAGAGTGAATCTGAATCGGTACCTACTAGGTATATAAAGTCAGGCCTTTTAATCATTAGGCAGAGATGAGCATTTTTCTTTATGGGACAAGCCCGCCACAACATACCAAAACTGATGCAACTCCTGTAAGCCAGGATCTACAGTAGTACCATGAAAACACCGGAACACTGATGTCCGGAGCATCCCAAGG